TTATTTTATAAATATTTTTTTTCAATTTTCATTCTGTATATTTTTGTAGATAAGATTTCATTTAATTTGTTGTTCCTTTTTTGAAAAGTGGGAAGGGTTACGAGATGAATGACTCTATAAATAAATAGATGAATAGATGAGGGGCAGGAGGACAAGTGGGTGGATGGTTTGAGTCTGGCGCGTGGATGTATTACTGGATAATGGGAGTGTGGTTGGAAGTTAACTGAATTGATGGATAAATCGAAGATAAGATAGAATAACAATGCTGTGTTTGGATGCACGTTTCCTTCTCGCCTCAGTGGGTGAATGGCGGGTGCTCCGATGTGGTCTGCTCCTATTTTTCCTATCAAATATCTATCCTCCTTATCTTTACTTTTTATGTATGTTACTCTCTTGCAACACCTATAGACTTTTCTGTACTTATTTGACCTAATAGTGTTGCAAGTGCCGTAAAACTCTTACTAAATCTAACACTTCACACCTTAACCTCAGTGTGCTGCTTGTTATTGATCTGTGCTTTACCTCGCCCAATATTTTGTGCAATAATATATTATTATCATTTGTTTGTCTTTTCAAGGCGGAAATGTATAATATGTAAGCACTAATTTTACTTACCCAAACCTCTTCGCAATAACATGTGCATTGTATTCTTTGATACAGATATATTGTATTTAAGATCATCAACTAATCATTATTTGTTAGATTGACAATGCTAATTTTCGTGTGCCATGTTACAAGATGTAAGATGTATGTAGCGCATAGCTATTGAAACTGCCCCAAATCCACGAACAATACCGTTGACATTTTTGGTATGTCATAAAGGCGTCTGTCATGGTTTTTTTAATAAACAAAGAATTATTAAGTAAAACAAAGACTGTCTGGAGTTGTTTTTTAAAGGCGTTTTTACGTACCCATCAGGCCAACCCAGGTTGAGAGGGATGCAACACCCCAGCAGAGAGACCGAGATACTCAATAAAAATTTATCTTCACTCGTGAATCGAGCTCGGTTCTCCTATGTACAACAGCGAAGTGCCTAACCGCAACACCACAGACGCTGGTCTGTTAGAAGATAAAAATCAGCCTAGTTTACGAGGCAACTTTAAAAAGAGCTTCTTTTTTCTGTTATATAGGTCAGCGTTTCTGGTTCTACGAAAGTAATTTATTGACTTTACAGTCTCTATATTTCTCACTAACATAACATTCTGTGAGGCGTCGTGGTGAATTCAGGCGGACGTCCAAATTATGTAATCAAAGAAACCGGCACGTTGTCAGTCCACTGGGCAATTTGTATCAAATTTCAGTTTTTGGCTCAATATCTTTTATGTCCATTTAAAAACATTTCTGTGTGGATTTTACTGGGGGGGGGGGGGG